CAATGTCCAGCATACTTGGAATTCCACCGAGGCCGCGTCCTTGGTTTGGGGGAAATTTTGAGGCTGCACATGGGTAGACTTCGCGTCCTTAAAATCCCCACAATGCTTTGCGCACAGACCAATTTCCCCAAATTTGTGGCGGAAAATGTAAGGCAGGGCCTCTCATATGACGCACACCTGCACACTTGCTAGCCTGTTCCACTCTTTGTTTTCCGAATGCCAGGAAGGATTCTTGCCTAGCTTCTGAAGGAAGTGACTCGGAAGACATGTGCTACCAAGCAAGCGTACTCGCGATTGAGAAACACCCCTCCACTGTCAGTACAGGAAGTGACGATTCTGACGAGCACGTTTTTCCCCGCCCCCCGAAGGACTCGTCTGATGGAAGTTTTTGCAAATCAGTAAAGTAAGGTGCGTGACTTGTTTGCACTATCCAAAACAATGAATGCAGTCTAAATGTATTGTTTCGCAGACAAAACAACATTTATCGATATAATATATATATACTTGCTGAGCATATAATTGGCTTATCATACACCACCTATGGCGCTATGCACTGATGCGTCTCAATATCATCAGCGGTAAAAAAAAGAAAAAAAAAAGTGATTAAAAATGGTGAAATGCAATGTAAAACAAAAAATTGTGAAATGCAATGTAAAACTAGAGAATGCAATTCCTGAAGAAATTGCTAGTGGGAATGCTTTATGCTGAAAAGCTGACGCTAAACTGCTATGCTGAAATGTAATGTGTAAGAAGAAAGTGAAGAATTTAGATTGAAATGATACATGAACACTGGGGGCTTGAATGTGTGATGAGTGAAGAAAAGAAAGTAAAAAGGCTTGGAAAAGCAGCAGAATATTTGAACTGCAAACTTTTGAACTAACTTGATGGTGAATGATCTGTCGCCATGGCAACGGCATTTGATGACACCCCATAATATGCTTAGATGCGTTGATGGCTGCATCGTTACCAAACCTGTGAAGTTTTGGGCCGTTTGGAACATTTTCACTGAAGTTATGAGAAAACCGTGTTTCATGGCGAGCATTGTGTTGCCATGGCAACGGCATTTGAAGAAACCCCATAATTGACGTAGAGCTGTTGAGGGCTGGACCGGTGATATACAAGCGAAGTTTGGGGGACGATCGGACCGTTTTCATTGGACTTACAGCGACATCGTGCTTCATGGCGAGTGGTCTGTCGCCATGGCAACGGCATTTGATGACACCCCATAATACGCTTAGATGCGTTGATGGCTGCATCGTTACCAAACCTGTGAAGTTTTGGGCCGTTTGGAACATTTTCACTGAAGTTATGAGAAAACCGTGTTTCATGTCGAGCATTGTGTAAACAATGTTTAATATCTCTAAAAGTAAGAATCAGATTTAAAAGTTGTGTTACACGAATAATGTCAGAGAGATGTGTAACATTTTAAAGTTGGAATGAGGTTTCTGAGTGAAAGTATGAATGAACAGTTAGCAGTTGAAGTCGCATGAAGATTTGTTGAAGTCTGAAGATTTTCTCCATTGACTTCAATGGTTAAAAATGTGATGAATCATGGGATGTATCTCTGGAATTATGAAAGTTATGAATGAGAAAAGTAATAGCCTGCGATTCCCGACCGAGCTGAACGTTTTGATGTTTGAACGGAGTTTCTGCGATGTTGAATGTGGGAGGAGAAGAGGGCCAAAATAAGTCGGCGGAATAATAATAATAAACTTTTTGTCCATAGCATAACATATAGTTGGAATGCTGATACAGCATTCCAACTATATGTTATGCTATGGACAAAAAGTTGTATGCTGTATCAGCGTTCCCACTAAATGAACAGTTAGAACTGACTGCTGTCAGTTGGAGTGATGACATCATCGTGTTCCATTACACAGGTGTTTATAGTTGAGCTAACGAGCTCTGTAGAGATCAAAGGTTTGCATTGTTCTGAATAAGAGATAAACCTCTTACATGTGAACGTTTTGTGGAAGAACCATAACAGATATCTGTGAAATTTCAAAAAGTGAAGCATGTCAAGGAAGTTGAGTATCTGAAGTGTAATTTTTGTGTACTTTCAGGTTAATAATGTGGCCTTTTTGGCAGTTTAACTAAAGGTGTGCGGCTGCTGCTGTGAGGAAATATCAGCCTGAAATTACAATGGTTTTTAATGGAGACATGTTGAACGTTTTTGTCACTTCATGCCCTCAAGAGGCATTTTGTTTAATTATTTTTGCTTAATTATTTGTCATTTTTCAAGCTACGAGATGTTTTCCTACGTTTGTCATGAAAAATTATGTCTCAGGAATGTAGGGTTTGCGAATTATGGCAATTAAAAAAAATATATGAAGGCAAATTTCAAGATTTCCTACCCTCTAGCTGTGACATCACGCACTCTAGTTAATGTTACAATCTGAAGAAAGCCTCTTTACCAAGGTCTGAACAATGTTTAATATCTCTAAAAGTAAGAATCAGATTTAAAAGTTGTGTAACATGAATAATGTCAGAAAGATGTGTAACATTTTAAAGTTGGAATGAGGTTTCTGAGTGAAAGTATGCATGAACAGTTAGCAGTTGAAGTCGCATGAAGATTTGTTGAAGTCTGAAGATTTTCTCCATTGACTTCAATGGTTAAAAATGTGATGAATCATGGGATGTATCTCTGGAATTATGAAAGTTATGAATGAGAAAAGTAATAGCCTGCGATTCCCGACCGAGCTGAACGTTTTGATGTTTGAACGGAGTTTCTGCGATGTTGAATGTGGGAGGAGAAGAGGGCCAAAATAAGTCGGCGGAATAATAATAATAAACTTTTTGTCCATAGCATAACATATAGTTGGAATGCTGTATCAGCATTCCCACTAAATGAACAGTTAGAACTGACTGCTGTCAGTTGGAGTGATGACATCATCATGTTCCATTACACAGGTGTTTATAGTTGAGCTAACGAGCTCTGTAGAGATCAAAGGTTTGCATTGTTCTGAATGAGAGATAAACCTCTTACATGTGAACGTTTTGTGGAAGAACCATAACAGATATCTGTGAAATTTCAAAAAGTGAAGCATGTCAAGGAAGTTGAGTATCTGAAGTGTAATTTTTGTGTACTTTCGGGTTAATAAGGTGGCCTTTTTGGCAGTTTAACTAAAGGTGTGCGGCTGCTGCTGTGAGGAAATATCAGCCTGAAATTACAATGGGTTTTAATGGAGACATGTTGAACGTTTTTGTCACTTCATGCCCTCAAGAGGCATTTTGTTTAATTATTTTTGCTTAATTATTTGTCCTTTTTCAAGCTACGAGATGTTTTCCTACGTTTGTCATGAAAAATTATGTCTCAAGAATGTAGGGTTTGGGAATTATGGCAGTTTTAAAAAAAGATATGAAGGCAAATTTCAAGATTTCCTACCCTCTAGCTGTGACATCACGATTAATGTTAAAATCTGAAGAAAGCCTCTTTACCAAGGTCTGAACAATGTTTAATATCTCTAAAAGTAAGAATCAGATTTAAAAGTTGTGTTACACGAATAATGTCAGAAAGATGTGTAACATTTTAAAGTTGGAATGAGGTTTCTGAGTGAAAGTATGAATGAACAGTTAGCAGTTGAAGTCGCATGAAGATTGTTTAAGTCTGAAGATTTTCTCCATTGACTTCAATGGTTAAAATGTGATGAATCATGGGATGTATCTCTGGAATTATGAAAGTTGTGAATAATCCAAATGATAGCCATCGATTCCCGACCGAGCTGAACGTTTTGATGTTTGAACGGAGTTTCTGCGATGTTGAATGCAGGAGGAGAAGAGGTGCAAAGTTCCGGCGGAATAATAATTGTGTCCGTAGAAGAACATATAGTTGGAATGCTGATCAGCATTCCCACTAAATTACCGAAAAAATACCAGCTCACTGAATCACAACCGCTACAAACTACGACCGCGGATTGGGCAGAGAAGGAGTCCGACCCATGTGACGTAATATGACGCGTTTGACGTATGACGTAAAAAAAAAGCAGTTTTTAGTAGCAGAGCTCAAAACGGCTCCTTTCCCCTCTGAATTCCTGTCCTTATGTCTTGTAAAACATATCAAATCCTGCATTAACTTTTTTATTTGTAATTTTCAGGCAAGGTTAAGCATAAATCTAGTAAAAAAAAAACCCTGCAAGTTGCTCTTTAACATTCTAAGTAAATAAAAAGATGACAACAGTGAGTTTCCCTGTTTAATGTCAACTCCTTCAAGTAGGAAAACAGCTCATCAGTGCCATAATAATCATCAACAATATGACTGCATTAGCTGTGAAATACATTTTGAAAAACAGATATGTTCGACAAGAATGTTAACAACTTAATAACCACAAAATCATAAGACCAGTTCAAAGCCACATGCCAACATACGTCAGAGAAACATCCATAAAAAAAAAATATATATATTTAGCACATTTGAGCTCCCCGAATTCCAAGGAGAACTACAAATATGTTTGCAAATCATAAAAATAAATAAATGTGCTTTACCCAACTAAAACACTAGATTATTGGATCTGAGAGTTTCCTTCAGTATCACAGTGATGTCAGTGCAGTTATTGTCAGGTAATAGAAGCAGAGTGATTTACACTGCATGTTCAAACTGTTAGATTGCTGAGAACCTTTACTGGAGATAGAATTCTTCTTCTTCTTTTCATATATTTTTATTATTTTACACTGTGTCCGGTATGTAGAGGATCTTCTTGGCGTCAACAACATAATGATATGTTAAAAGCACAAAAGAGAGCATTCAGCAGAACGAGATGATGTACAGAGTGAGAGCAGGTAACATGCCGCTACATTCCCTCATGTCCGACGTCCAGGTCAAAGAAAAGGCAACAGCTCTTTCTAAGGTGCATTTCCATAAATCATATGTTATCACGCGCACACACACACACACACACACACACACACACACACACACACACACACACACACACACACACACACACACACACACACACACACACACACACACACACACACACACACACACACACACACACACACACACACACACACACACACACACACACACACACACACACACACACACACACACACACACACACACCAGTCCATAGCTGCTTTGATATCCAAAATAAATCATTCTTCTTGCCACATCAAAAATAGACTGTATAACATGACCAATGGGGAGGGACTTCATCACAGCATGCTCTCCTTCAGTCTGGTCCAGTCTGGTTGAGTCCGGTTCAGTCTGGTTCAGTCTGGTTCAATCCGGTTCAGTGTGGTTCAGTAAGGGCCTGCTCTGGTTACATGAGGCCCTGTTAGTAGAATGCGCGTTCCACCAACTTAAAGTACACTTTAACATATCTCCAACCAATGATTTGATCATCCACTGAAAATGTAGCTTGCCTTCTGTATTCATCAGTCATTTAGTGAGATACATTCTTACAAAAAAAATTGAAAGGGAAACATTCCAGGACCAAGTTTTCAGTCTGAATGCTGCTGCTATCTCCAGCTGCCAAACCACATGAGTCCCTCACAGAATACAAAATTTGAGGCTGAAATACTGAACTACTGGTCCTATGTTTCACGATGAGAGTTTTGGTCCTCTTCAGGGTTAAGATCAGCAGCTCTGAAGACCCCCTACTGCTCTCTGCCCTTCAGATGCTCTTTCAACAGAGAGTGTCCGTGTTGAAGGACAGCTGCACCTGCCAAACACACATCCATATGTAGGTAAATCTGTGCAGGAGCAAACAATAATAACATCACGCAAACAGAATGCAACCAACACTTTTACATGTTCAAGGCCGCTACAATGTAAAACACTTGTATACAGTTAGGAGAATAGACAGACCAAGGGTTCATTCTGACAGGTGCAGAGGACAGAAGGACTGCTGTAGCCATGTTACAGGAAGTGCATCCTGTCTGTGGAACGGTTGTATTGTGTGTACTATTACATCTGGTATCACTTTACTATATCACTATATTGAGCCAAGAGGCGGACATCCTGTAAGCTTCCATGGAGTCTATGATCAGTCTACAGTTGAGATCAGCTTAGAGCTTCTTCTCTCTCATCATGACTAAGAGGAATACGCCAGAGGAAGCTCACAACAAAATACATCTCTGATCTATTGAAAAAGACAGAAACTTTATTAATGTTGTCAACTTTTTAGTTAAATAAATGAAGAAAGTTGTGATCCACTCACCCTTTCCTCTTCAAAGCTGATGAGTCCTTCGTCATCGTCGCTCTCCAGCTCGGCGGGCGCCTCGCTGATCAGAGCGCTGAGCTCCGTGGGGGCCGGCCGAGACTTCAGCAGGTTGAGGATGCGCTGCAGGGGGGACTGTCCAGGCACCGGGGGGGACACCTCCTGCTGATCCAGGTTGTCACTCTGCTTCTTGGCAAAGTTGACAAACACCTTAGCAGAACAACAGAATAAAGGGGATTTATTCCATTTGTTTCCCTTGTGGGATGTCCTGCATGAAGCTGATCCAGGTACAGTGCCTCACATTGTCCAGAGTGGTCTGACTGACGGAGTAGTCCTCGATGCCCAGCACCTCCACCACCTGCTCCATCTTACTGAACACCTGAGCCAGGGAGATCCGCTCAGACTTCAGCTGGTACTGGATCTTAGTGTGGTGACGCTCCTGCAAAGTTCACAACAGCTGGCAGTCTTCAATGAGTAGACAAAGATCACTAACCTAACCCTCCTCAACAAAATCTGAAAAAAATCTGGAAATGTAAAATGTGAAATATCAAATGCGACAAAACCAAAGTAGAGTAACAGCCTCGGTCAGCTGGTCCTCCCTGTGTGTCCAACATGTCAACACACGTTTTTATTCTATTGTCTTTTCTTGTGAAATTGTGATAGTAATAGGAGTATGGACAAACGGTTTTTGTTAGCGAACAGCGAACAGGGACTTCTTCATTCTTATCATTTCATCCCTGAGTCAGAATGATCGGAGCTCCTGATCCCTGTTGGCAGGCTGTGGGCAGAGGGACTGGGTTTCATAACACTACCGTAATAATTCAATCATATTTGGAAGTTATACATTTCTTCAATAGAAACATTGTAACGTGAACATTTTGAACTTATTTGTATAGAAGATAAAGCAGATCAGTGACACTAAATAGATTTCTGAAAGGAATTAGTATAAGTAAGTGTGGCAATCCGTTTCAGCACTGTACCTGCAGTCAGCATTGTGATGGAAACTTCTGAAGCAATGGAGACGAAACTCAGAGAGACATGCGGAGGGCAGGAACTTTGATGGCAAACACTGAGGGTTTATTTGGAGCTTCGGCCGGAGAATTCACAAGACATGTGCTGCAGCCACGAGGTGACACAGAAGTTCTGAAGATCTCTCCCCCAGACCCATGTATTTAGCTAGTTCTGAGAGAATAATCAACATGCTGCATAACAAGATAAAGCACTATAACCTCTATCAGCTGACGCCAACAGGCAGGAACAGGGCGACAAAACACTGAGAGCACAGCCTGTGCTTAGTGAGGGCAGTGCAAACTGATTAACTGGGTCAAGGCCTAGGAAAATATTTCCCCAACAGGTATCATATACAGAAAGTATATTCAAACCTTGGTTCTCCCTGTATAGATTAAGCACACACTATGAGTAAATGATTCATTGTTAAGGCACTGTAATGTGTGTTGTGTATAAAGTGTCATTGTGTGTGCTGTTGTTTGTTTGATTTACAAAATAAACATTTTGAGATAAAAAAAGGCACCAACTTAGATTTTTTTTCATTCAGAGGAATATGAGTTGATAGATTATCCTGGACTGGTATATGTCAAGGTTTAGTCCGGATTAAAGATTTTTAATGGCAGCACAAATGACTCCTGTTGTCTGGTTTGACTGAGTGTTTCCCCTACCATTGTCTTGGCGGGGCGCTGCGCCCTGTCAACGGAGCCCCGCGCCCCGCCTGAAATTCAAGGTGTTTTTTTTTTCAAAATACCAAACAGATCGCCCATTGTAGCCATGCCTCATATTGCTCAAACCCCTCTTTTGAAGCCCTGTTAGAGAAATGCAGATTTGGGGTCCTTAGCTTGAAACAAATAAATAAGAGGAGGCGGAGCTAATGCCTGATCAGAATTCTACCGGAGATAAAGTTAAATTCGGTTGTGATATTTCGCCATCCTGTTTAAACCACGTCAAGGATTATTTCTGAAATAGTAAATATTTAAAGTGGACCTATCATGCTATATTTGAATAATATATTGTAGGGCCATACCTATATAAAACATGTCTGTGAAGTTTTTTTTTCAAAATACCAAACAGATCATGCATTTTAGCCATCCATCATTTTGCTCTATTTTGCTCTCCTCCAGCCCTGTCTTTGCATGGGCTGCAGCTGACCACGCCCCCCTGCAAAGGAGGGGGGCGAGGCACGAGCGTCATGTTACCATGCTGTTACCATGCTGTTACCATGCCACGGCAACCTCTCATTCCCCTGATAGGTGGAGAGTTGGCCATATAGGCGGAGCTCCTCGTTCCTGACGTCAGAGAATTTTCAAATCTGTATCAGCTCCGTTGCAGCCCCGTTTTTAGAGATTTGGGTATGGAGGAAAAGAAAGAGGGTTGTGTTTTATGACACTTGGTGAATTCCCCGACACACCGGGACACATATTCATGTATAAAAGACGTACAAAAGTGCATTTTGCATGATAGGTCCCCTTTAACCTGTTAAGCCCTGAGCCTGTTTTTCAGGTCTCAGGCTCGAAAATGACATTCCCAGAACAAATGACCATATCTTCCCTTCTAAAAGGGTTAAATTAATAATCTTTTTTCTCAAAGTAATGATAAACCTGTGAGTTGGATGTAGAAAAGTCAGAATCAATATAGATGTTTTTTATTTTAAAGAAAATTCAGATTTGACATAAAAAACTGTAAATTATAGTGTCCGTCCAAAAATAATGTTTTACTTATAGTGAAAACTACCCTTGGATGATGGTAAGGTAGACTAAAAGCTTTAGGAATCCAAAGTACAACATATAATAAGTACCTTGTATCAAGATTGATGCAAAACAAGTGACATTTTACCTTTTTAGAGAGATTTAGCCAAAAACACTCCACCTCTGAGGTGATTTGGGTGGAATATCTTTTTTCATATCTCTGGAACCCATTGGTCGATTTTGATGGTTGACACCTCTTTCTGACCGTTAGAGCCAATAGAATCGAAGGGGGAGTCCCCCACACACACTCATTGTGAAACAAAAAGGTGGGGGCTTTGCGCAAGTAATTTTGCATTAGAGTGAAGCTACATTCTAGCTCTGACATCCAGAAACGGAAAAGCATGGATTATCCGTTTTATTGCTCATGGATTATCAGAAATCATTTCAAAGGGACACATACACATTGGATTAACCTATGGATTAACTTCAGCAGCGTTTTTATCGTTTTAATGCCATTGAAGACCACTTTGGAGAGACTACAGAGCCAAGGTAAGAATGTTAGCATTTTTAGCTACCTAGCGTCACCTGTTTTGATGTCTGTTTTTGTTTATAACGTCGCGATTTCGTATAATTCAGTGATAATGAGGGTACCCATCGATTCTGTGTCACCTCACGATGTGAATCGATGTCATGGATGTGGAGAAAAGATAAATAATAAGGTTTTGTGAGTGATTTTCGGTGCAGTAATCTGTTAGCATTTTTCGCTCGTTGCTAATTCAGAGGCTCAGTGTTAGCATTGTGGGTTTTCTTTTGAAAAAAAAAAAAAAAAGATCAGTTAGATGAGTTTCTTCCCGTTACATGGATATAAAACATTCATAGTTTATTAAATGAACATGCCCTCAGACACTGTTTCCTGCAAGATGTTGCGGCAGTGCCCCGGGGTCTCTCGGGCTTAACAGGTTAAGTAAAACACCTCTTCAGCCAACCCATTACCACAACATTTACACTGCTTTTTGGAATTCTACAATTTGGAAAAATCTAATATTTTGAATTAGTCGAGACCTGTATTTGTAAAGAGTTTTGGTTGTGTGGTTCCTCAAATATTTGAGCGTCCGCAATGTGCAAAATGTACTTGCCAAAGTCAAATCACACAATTTTCCATTGAAGGTCTACGGATCTGGTTATTTTCCATGTTTTCATCAATAATGCTTTACTAGTAGCAGCAAGGATTCTGCTCACCACTTCCACACTTAGAAATCGGACTTCAGCGGCCAGAGCATTTACTTTGCATGGCAGAAGGATTCTAGCAAAATCAGTAGATCACAAACAAATCAAAATATTGTCAGGATTCAAGTAAGCAAGTAAGTAAGTAGCATCTGAAGCCGCCAGCGTCAACATTTGATGCTACAAATTTGAATAAAAAGCCCATAATTTATTGAAAATAGTGGTTGTTACCTTTTCTTACAAAGAACATAGCATGATACCATCCATGCTATTTTTGTGGCAATAAGAGGAAATAAACCAACTTTAGGACATTAACAAAAATTGAAGATTGGTCAAATTTGACCTGAGGACAACAGAAAGGGTTAAGAGTGTTATCACTAATAACAGCTTTGTGCTGCGGCAGGAAACCATGGTGATAAGAGTGAAAGCTCTGAACCCACAAAATGAAGAGGCTCACAGCCCTGCACACTGCCTACCAACCCTCTCATGGTTTGTTTCCTTCTCATAGATTCTGATCTCCTGGAGTCTCTGCAGTAACGTACCTTCAGTACGGCCTCAGGGAAGTTCCTGTTAAAGAATCGCAGCACCTCCTTCACATTAGAGCTGCTCTTGGTCCTCACTGTGATCATGTAGCCATCCCCAAACCTGGACATAAAGACATGATGGACATGAGACATAGTCACATAGATCTGAGAGTTGTTATTAAAACACAGGAAGAAGGTGGAGCTTCTGACCTGTTCTTCAGATGTTGGATGCTGCCCAGGCACTTGAACCTGCCGTTAACCATGATGCCCAGCCTGGTGCACAGAGCCTCACACTCCTCCATGCTGCACAGAGCAGCAGACACACTACGTTAGCTACAGTACGCTACAGTCTGGAAGCCCTGAAAGGAAGTCCGATTGTTTTCCCCAAGAGATCCATATAAACATCTTAATATGTTTCTCTCCTGTGTTCTCTCCTGTGTTTGTGAAATAATAAACAGGTGATTTATACAAAATATATCATTTTATATACATGTGTTTTCTCTGCCAGGCTGTAAACCTGTTTATCCTTACTGTACAGTTGGTCCTCTTAACACGGGGGTCAATAAAGAGCTATTTGAGGAAATGCAGTTTTTGCTCTTTGCTCTTGCTTCACTGCCTGAGAAAAAAGAGTAACTGGTAAATGAGAAATGGAATTAGTGATCCAAATCAATGTTCCCAGTAAACCTTTTATTCTCCACTTGTTTCGCACATGACAAAATTAAAATAAAGCTTATTTTCTGTGTCGTTCAGTCATACACACTGGAGAGAAGAATTTCATTAGGAAATGGATCACCAGAACTGTTTTGTTCTTGCTTGCCTTTCAGAATTGAAGTACTATTGTGAAACAAGTGAAAGTATATGGCAACAGTAAGAGCGGGATTCCACTGAATGTAAGGACTAAGACGTCTCACCTGTGTGATGTCAGCACAACAGAGCGTCCTGTCTTTATTATGTCCAGGATTAAATTCCAGAGGAATCTGCGGGCCTTCGGGTCCATGCCAGTGGTGGGCTCATCCTGGAAGCCCCCACAAAATACAGCTTATTGGGCAGTTTTAAACACAGTATATACTGTACTCTCATTATAGTTTCTGTTGCCCTTCTACCAGGTCCACATAAACATTAAAGCATCATTCCACTCCCAATGCGTCACTCAAACAAGGTGCAGCATATAGAAACATCCATTCCAGCTTCTTACCAGGAAGATGAGTGAGGGGTATCCAATCAGAGCGATGGCAGTGGAAAGCTTGCGTTTATTACCTCCACTGTAAGTGCCGGCAGGCTTGTCTGCATACTTTGACAACTCCAGCTTCTCTAATGCCCACTGCACCACCTGGAGGAGAGAAAGGTTAGAGCTGGGAGAGTGTGTGTGTGTGCGTGTGTGTGTGTGTGTGTGTGTGTGTGTGTGTGTGTGTGTGTGTGTACATGTTTGACTGACCCTCTCCTGGTCCTTCCAGGGAATGCCACGGAGGCGAGTGTAAAGTTCCAGATGTTCTCTAGCAGTCAGGTCATCAAACAGAGCGTCAAACTGCGGACAGTAGCCGATACTCTGCTGCACACACAACAGGTCCTTCAGGATACTACACACACACACACGCGCGCGCGCGCACACACACACACACGCACACGCACACGCACACGCACACGCACACGCACACACACACACACACAGTGTTTACACAAAGCTTGATTTCAACAAAAATTCCTAATTTTAATAAATAACTTTTAATGTACCTGGTATCGTGTACCAGGCTGCAAACATGTTTATTTCTTCTGTAACGTTGTGAGTCTACTGTTTTCTCACATCACTTTTGAACAGGCCTCAAGTGGACATTCAGGGAACTGCACTCTGTGGCACATCTACATCCTTAGCAGTGTGCATTAATCTGAGGCATGTTGTGGCAATTAGCAATAAAAAGACACATTACACATTTTTCTAGTTCCTATGTTGCAGATTGACTGTTGAAACTTAGAACATGATTTTTACCCTCTATATATGTCAACGTGCAGCAGCTGAGCATTAGAGTGTGGCTGAGACAAATAGAGAGGTGTCCACATACTATAGGTCATAAACTATGTTTTTTAACTGATGTGTGTTGCTAATTGTTCTTCTTCTTTGTGATCTTAAGTAAAGAAAATAGAAAAGCACATGAACATTAAAAGTTATCATTTTCTGCCACTGACCTGTTTCCGTTAATGAAGGCCTCTCCTCCAGTGGTAGACTCATCTCCTGTCAGCATCTTGAAGGTGGTGGTCTTCCCTGCTCCATTCACTCCCAGCAGTCCGAAACACTCCCCCGGCCGGACGCCCAGACACAGCCGGTCCACAGCCAAGATATGACCCATCTTCCTGGATTTGTAAACCTGAACACAGGGACATAGCTCCTTAACTATAAATCATGTATATTCCACAGATAAAATGGGTGTTTTACTGGTAGGTTAAATTCATTATTCAGTATTGGAAACAGGGGTGGCACTCATTTGTGGCAGTAAACATAAACAGTTGTTTGCTTCTAATTCACACTATTTGACATAGTGATGTCATTATGTCCGTCAAGTCGAGTAATTTTAACGCTACAATGTTTGAGTGAAATATGCATTTGTGTGCACATTTCTGTAGAAACAAAACAGTTGCTTCTTGGAATGTTCTACATTTTGAGAGCTAAATATTTGAACCTTTGTGAGGTTGTCGATCTTAAGCTTGTCATTGTCAGCGTCTCCTCGTAACACTCTCCGTCTCTCACAGGCCACGTCTACATCGTCATCGTCTATTGGCTGGCAACTGACAGGCATCCTCCTGCACACACACACACACACACACACACACACACACACACACACACACACACACACACACACACACACACACACACACACACACACACACACACACACACACACACACACACACACACACACACACACACACACACACACACACACACACACACACACACACACACACACACACACACACACACACACACACACACACACACACACACACACACACACACACACACACACACACACACATACACACATACATTAAGTCTGAAGGAGTGACAGTAAATCCTGTGAAATAGGCGCGTTCACACCGCAGTACTTTTCCCACTTTAGTTCCGAAATGTAGCGTTCACACAAAAAAGAGCCGGAACTAAAATGAGTTCATGAGAACCTTTTTACCCCCTTTTCCGTCCCTGCTAGAGAGCAGGGACTTTCGTGGGAGAAAAAGGTTCCTATGTCTGATTGGCTGGGCGAATTGCAAACCACGCCCCGTAAAACTCCCAAAAAGTTTTGTGAAGCCGCCATTTTATTATCCTGGCATTAGCATTATTAGCATTAGCATTAGCCCAGCGCACAAACGCAGAGAGACTAACTTATGGCAACACAAAAGAAAACATGGGAGCGGTGGAGATGAGGAGGTGTCGGCGTTCTGGTGATTTACTCTGAAGGCTTCAGTAGAAGCTGCTGGGAGTCCCAGCAGCTTCTACTGAAGCCAGTCCCCAACTCCGGGGACTTCCGGCCGGGGACTCCGGGTGGCAGTATACGCCGTGAAGTTGTTTGCGGCCTGCCAGTAAACCCAAAGCAAAAGAAGAAGAAATGACGTCAGCGGCTTCATTTGCCTAATCCTCCCCCAGGAACTTATTCCGGTGTGAACGTGATCTATTAGTTCATGAGAACTAAAGAGTTCTGATGAACTAAGTTCTCATGAACCTTTGTGGGAAAAGTACTGCGGTGTGAAAGCGCCTATTCCCCACACTCATAGAAACAAACAGGACTCACGGCGGCTTTCTGAGGAAGTTGTACTGGCAGAGGATGGTGATGAGGAAGCCAACAAAGCCTTCGATTGTCATGGCAACGAGCCCTCGGGTCACGATGTCCCACTCAAATGGAGACTTCATCTTGTCAAACTGGCCTGAAAGCACACCATTTATAACGATTGATATCTTCTTTACTTTTCTTTCAAAAACATTTGTCTGTTTGAAAGGTAAAATAGTTAAAGGTCCACCTTGTTGAGGCCAACTTAAGGTTTATGCATTTCAATTTGTTACTGTCTAAAATACATACTTATTTAATTGTTTCATTTATTATTTCTGCAAATAAAGTAGATTTTGCTAGTAAATGTATTATTATATTATTTTCATAAAAGAAAATGATAGGCAACAAAAGATGAAATAACAATGATTCTAAATTCTAACATCATCCTGTTTGCCCTTATCATGGTACATTCAAATGTTGTTTTTTATGTCCCTTGTATCACACAAACACATACAATAATTATTCTGACTTCTTCACAATCACATTAAATAATCGTGAGAGAAACTAAAAACATTGCTCCGTTATAGGTGTACCTATTTTAGCGTAGTATTCATTGATGTACTCATTGTAAGCCATCTCCATCAGGCCATGTCCCAGGTTGTAGTTGGGGAAGATCAGGAAACAGGACTTCAGGTAACTGTTGATTCTTTTCAGATCCTAAAGACATGAAGATAGTGGAGAATTAACACAGAAGTGATGTGAGACTACGTCTGATAATACTGCACAACAAAAGCTGAGGGAACAATAGTCAAACTGACCTTATCATGTTCAAAGAGCTGGAGCAGGAAGGTGGCAACAGTTGCAGTGATGCCTATGAAGAGGTTGATGACTATAAGGAACACGTAGGCTGTACTGGGCACCTCGAACCAGAAGGATGCTGGGTACATGATGGGAGTAATGGACCAACTGGAAGAAGAAAGGACATATTGAAAGCCAAAAACATGAAGACGCATTCATTCACTTTAAATGAAGAGGACACCTCTTCATCTAAAACGCTAAGTCAATGAGGAAGTGCCTTGAAGCTGCGTTATTTTGAATAATCAGAAATGGACTGCATTGGTTGCAAATAGAAGTCAGTACGTTCAGAAGTCTATGAGAAAATAAACCCTAGCCTCACCTGATGTATTACCTCTATTTATAAACCTTTTCTGTATTGGTTCATATTCTCAAAGGCCAGATTCAAGAAGTCTGAAAAACAGCATGATTCATAAGCACAATTATGGTCCCGTTTATAGTAAAAAAGACAACAAAGCAGGGTATGCTTGAAGGGCCGGAATACCTTCTGATTTACATCTCGATTCTATGGCATTGCTGCCAGATGTTATTCATCATTCAGTACTAATAAAGACACTATGTCTACTATGTTTGTATATGTACATGTATGCGGAACTGCAGGACGGAGTCCAGAACAAATTTCCTTACAGGGACAATAAAGTATATCGTATCGTATCGTACTCCAAGCACTCCACAAGTACATTAAAGCACAAGCCTGATTCTTGCTAACTAAAACTAGCATCCCAATACATTTCACAATTCTTCCTTTCTTACAAAGCTAGCTAGCTTGTGTTAGCACCATCTCACTTTTGCCCAGCTTCAACCTCTGTGATACATATGGTCAACTTCACATTAGTTGAGTAACTATAATAAAACACTGTCTGCACTGGTGCAGTTTTTCCAGATCTTATATTCAGGGAGTTTTTTTGCTGTCAAATATCAGAAGGAAAGTGTGGTCTGCAGTCACATTTCTTATGAAGTTTCTACTTGACAAACATAAGGAGAGATGCCTTGAATCTCCTTCTCCTTCTCTAATTTCTTGTCTTTAAACCACTTTTCCCCAAAAATCCATAGCATGGAAGAATACAGTTACTCTGACCCAGGGCCTTATCCTGCAGACAGGATGATGTTGGAAAAACACTGATTTTAGATCATGCACCGTGAAGGAAATAATTATTTGATCCCTAGCAGATTTAGTTTGTTACACTCTTACAAAGAAATTAATAGTCTATAATTTTAATGGTAGGTTTATTTTGACAGTGAGAGTAAGAATATCAAAAAGAAAATCCAGAAATTGACATCATATAAAAGATACAAATTGATTTAAATGTAACTGTGGGAAATAACCCAAACATAACCTTGCAAAACATGTGTTAGTACTTGGTGGAGAAACCCTAGTTGGAAAACACAGAGGTCAGATGCTTCTTGTAGCTGGTCTCCAGGTTTGTGCACATCTCAGGAAGGATGTTGGTCCACCCCTCTCTGAAGACCCTCTCCAAACCCTTCAGGTTTTGAGGCAGATGCTTGGCCTCTGGAAGCTTCAGCTGCCTCCACAGATTTTCTTTGGGATTGAGGTCAGGAGACTGGCTAGGCCCCTCCCTCACCTAAATGTGCTTCTTCTTTAGCCACTCCTGTGTTGCCTTGGCCTTAGGGTCAGGGTCATTGACCTGCTGGAAGACCCCTCCATGACCCACGTTCAGTGTCCTGGCTGAGGGAAGGAGGCTATCGGCCAAGATGTTACGGTACATGTCCCCATACATCCTCTCCTCGATGCAGGGAAGTGGTCCTGTCCCCTTAGCAGAGAAACACCCCCAAAGCAGAATGTTTCCACCTCCATGCCTGACGGGGGGGGGGATGGTGTTCTGGGGTTATACTCAGCATCTCTCTTCCTCCAAACACGGCAGGTCGAGTTGATGCCAAAGATCTCGATGTTGCTCTCATCTGACCACATCCTCTTCTCCCAAGCCTTCTCTGAATCATTCAGATGTTCATTGTCAAACTTCAGACGGGCCGTTCATGTTCTTCTTGAGCAGGGGACCTTCAGGCGCTGCAGGATTCGATCCATTATGGTGTAGTATGTTACCAATAGTTTTCTTGGTGACTGTGGTCCCAGCTGCCTTGAGATCATTAACAAGTTCCTCCCGTGTAGTTCTTGGCTGATACCTCACATTTCTATCAATACCCCACGGGGCCAGATCTTGTGTGGAGCCCCAGACCGAGGGCAATTGATGCTCATTTTGTGTTTCTTCCATTTCTGAATAATCGCACCAACAGTTGTCTCCTTCTCACCAAGCTGCTTTCTGATGGGTCATGTAGCCGATCCCAGCCTTGTGGAGGGTTGCATTCGAATTGTCCAAAAATCAGCTCCTATCATCTTTTCCTATCCACTATTCCTTGACCTCTGTGTGAAACATTAGGCGGTTAAGGGATAGTGGATAGGAACATTTAGAAGGACTTAGGAAAAAAGACTGCGGTGCTTTGCGAATCCGACTGCACTTACACTATCAACGTGTTTATGATGCGCCAGCGGACGTCATAAATGTGCGTCTGCTGTGGGGAAAACTACAATTTGTATACAGCGGACTACATGGATGTTTAATAAGAACGGCGGACTAAACCCATCTAGAGACGACTCTGCACCGTGCTCTGATAGTGTTGTTTTATGCTTTATGAACGTGGGCAACAGAGAAACATATTCTTCATGAACAAGGTTGGAATTTAAATAACAAAGTAAAGTGAAACTTAAACTTATGTTCGTCACCCTCTCCCTCCGGTCCACACGTTAATACGTGTATTATAATAAATACATTTGTATTTGTTTTAAGATCTTTTCATACAATCATACGTATTGGGATTCATGTGGATATTAACGTTTTATTCCTTAACATATCACTGTGTATATCACCATTCAAACATCTTTTAAAAGTTGAACAACCCCCACACAGCTCAGTAAACACTGTGAAATGTTGACTTTATTTGATCATTTCAGTAAAAAAGTAACGTTCATATTTCTCCTTTTGATTATTATAGTGTTGAACGTTCAAAACAAAGCACTTTGGCAAGTTACCACATAAGTTGTAAATTGCTTAATAAATACCGTAACTTTCATGATATTATTTCTCGGTCATAATCGGTTGTTTCCGTGAACGTTGTGTGACGGTAAATGTTGCGGCCGCAAGGCATTGTGGGACAGCATTTTCTCCTTTCCTTTCGTAAAGGAAGGTCCAGTGGTTCCTAAGCTAAAGGAGGTTATAAAGGAAGTTTGAAACCTCCTTTCCTATCATCTAGACTGGAGAATTTGAACAGCTCTTATCATGGCTGCCACTGAGGTACTTCCGGGTCATTTCACTCCGTTAGGAAGGTTCCTAAGCTAAACTGACAATTGATGCAAAACAAGTGACATTTGACCTTTTTAAGAGAGATTTAGCAAAAATAAACCACTTCTGGGGTCATTTGGGTGGATTTTCCATATCTGGCCCCCCTTGCTAGATTTTGATGGTTGACACCTCTTTCTGACCGTTAGAGCCAATAGAATTGAAGGGGGAGTCCCCCACACACACACGTTGTGAAGAGAAAAGGTGGGGGCTTCGCGCATGTAATTTTCAATCAGAGTGAACCTACTGTATCTCTAGCTTTGACATCTGGAAACGGAAAAGCAATTTTAATGCTTATGGATTATCAGAAATCATTTCAAAGGGACACAGACACATTAGATTAACCTATGGATTAACTTCAGCAGCGTTTTTATCGTTTTAATGCCATTGAAGACCACTTTGGAGAGACTACAGAGCCAAGGTAAAAATGTTAGCATTTTTAGCTACCTAGCGCCACATGTTTTGATGTCCGTTTTTGCTTATAACGTCGCAAATACGTATAATTCAGTGGTAATGTCGGTGTCAATAGATTCTGTGTCACCTCACGATGTGAATCGATGTGTTGGATATGGTGAAAAGATAAATAATAAGGTTTTGTGAGTGATTTTCGGTGCAGTAAGGTGTTAGCATTTTTCGCTCGTTGCTAATTCAGAGGCTCAGTGTTAGCATTGTGGGTTTTCTTTTGAAAAAAAAAAAAAAATGATCAGTTAGATGAGTTTCTTCCCGTTACATGGATATAAAACATTCATAGTTTTATTAAATGAACATGCCCTCAGACACTGTTTCCTGCAAGGTGTTGCGGCAGTGCCCCGGTACCGGGGTCTCTCGGGCTTAACAGGTTAAAGGAAGAGGACTTATGTAACCGGTCTGTGGGAGCCAGAATTCTTGTTGGTTGCAAGGGGATCAAATACTTATTTCCCACAGTTAAATGCTAATTCATTTTTTATCTCTTATATGATGTACATTTCTGGACATTCTTTTTGATATTCTGTCTCTTATTAGTCAAATAAAGCTACCATTAAAATTATAGATTGTTAATTCCTTTGTAAGTGGGTAAACTTACAAAATCGGCAAGGGATCAAATACTTATTTCCTCCACTGTAAATTAAATCACTCAGAGTTGACAGTGATGTTACAAGCGAGGTTAGCAAAAGGCCTTGTAGCCTTCATATATTTTACATCTATATAATAGTTGCTCTCCCAGAGTGTGGAGGAGACATTGGGAGAGGGGCCATTACACAAGGAGAGCTGGACAGTTACCCTGGTCCAGGTCTAGGAGGAAATCCATCAGGACACTAACTGCTGTCTCATCAGGAGCAGATGTGGTTGGGAGTGCATACAGGACCATGGGGGCATACACACTACTGAGCCCTATGATAAGTGGTCGTGATTGGATTGAAGTTAGTTGGAACAGCCTGTTGAATTTAGTTCACTTAGATTTTCTGTTGAATTTTAATTCCAGCCCTCATTGGGTTGATGAGTTTGGTTTCCATCACACAATGAATATCAGTATAATATAATATTGCGTTCATTAAGTGTTGACTTACAAACTAACCACAAACTACATTCCATTCAGTTTTTTTTAAATGTGGTGAACTGACCCTTCAATAGAAGTGTAAGACCACTAGACTACACTATAATGAGACGTTAATTCCAGGTATAAAAGCTGATAAGTAAAGATGTGTGCACTCAAAAGTCTCACCCGTACAGAAGAAAGAGAGAGAGGACTGCAGGGAAGTTAGTTGGTGAGGTGTAGGCCGGCAGGTCAAACACAAACAGAATAATCACACAACATGTGGCAGGCACCAGGTAGTTCAGCTGAGGAGAGAGCAGACACACACTGAATTATTAAAAACACAAGAAAATCCACCGCCCTAACCTCAGTTACACATGCATTATTCTTTGTACAGTATTGACACCAGGGTTTTCTCACCATGTCCCATATGTAATTAGCCAGCCAGTAGATGACAGGGTCACACCCGCTGACAAACTGCAGGTGTTTGGCCTTCGTGGATTTCTCTGCAACAAGGAAGACCACAAAGCTGGCCGGTACAAAAGACATGGCCACAATAATGAAGATGGCAATCACCACATCTGTCCCCTGGAGCCTGGAGATACAGGGAGAGGAGAGAGGAGAGAGGAGAGAGAAGAGAGGAGAGAGGAGAGAGGAGAGAGGAGAGAGGAGAGAGGTGAGAGGAGAGAGAGGTGAGAGGAGAGAGGAGAGAGAGGTGAGGAAAGGAGCCTTTAGAAATGATTGTAAATGATAACCATCACAAGGCTATGTCTTTCCACCTTTATAACTCAGCCCAACATCCTCTCATTTTGGGTTTCCCCTGGCTAAAACGTCATAACCCCCACATAAATTGGCACTCTTGCAGGGTGGAGGGGTTGGGAAAGGAATGCTTAAATCACTGTTTAAAGCAAACAGTTGAGATGGACAGGGGAAGCAACACTGGGAATTGTAGGCAGGAAACAGACCAAAGGTTAGATCCTCCTGAATCACCTTCAGTCCCTTCCTGCTACCATGATCTAGATGAGGTTTTTAGCAAATCCAAGGCTTTGGCTCTTCCTCCTCACCGTCCATTGTGCTATTGACCTGATTGCTAGGGTTCCTATTCCTAAAGGACCTGGGCAGCACGCCGGAGGGGCATCGTCACCGGTTCTGGGCCATCCCCTTCGAGGACGCTGGCCGTCCCTTCTCCGACGCGCAGCAGCTCCTCAATGCCGCGAGGCGCTGGCTCCGACCGGGACAACACTCCGCTGAGGATGTTGTGGAGCAGGTGGCCCAGGAGCAATTTGTCGCAGGACTCCCGACATCCACAGCGAACTGGGTCCAGTGCCACCGCCCCGCCAGCCTAGAAGCAGCCGTCATCCTCGCGGAGGATCATCTCTCTCTTCCCCAGCGGAGCCTGAAGGAGGAGCCCCGGTACTCAACGGTCCCAGCGGGCAGACCCACCCCGGCCTTGAGGCGGAGATTCCCCGCAGCGGATGCTGCTGTCACTCACACACCCACCCACACACCCACCCACACACAAACCCACACACCACAGAGCCCCCCGACTAACCCACCCCCCTTTTGCTCTCTCTTCTCAGGGTCCAGCCTACGCGTCTGGTCATCCGGCGCACCTCCTCAGACAACAAGTTCCTCCTCAGACACCAGGGCAGGATTGCTGGCGGTGCGGGCAGCCCGGCCACTTCCGCTGGTGGTTCCGGTGGAGGATTTCCCCTTTGAGCAGTCAAGGGAAGAGACCCTTCAGCACGCCTTCGACCAGGTGGTGAGTATTGATGGCTCCCAGCTACACCCAAACGCAGCACTCACTCACCCACACTTTACTGTGATTAGGGACAGGCTGTATCGTGTGAGCCGTGACACACAGACAGGAGAGCTAAATACCCAGTTGTTGGTACCAAAAAGCCGTCGGGAAATGATTTTCCAGGCGGTCATCTAGGGTACGACAAAACACTACACCGGATCATGGCCCGGTTTTATTGGCCGGGCATTCGCGCAGATGTGAAGCGGTGGAGCGCATCTTGCCGTGAATGTCAGCCGGTTAACCCGCCGGCCACCCCAAAAGCGCCTTTGCGCCCACTCCCATTAATTGAAGTGCCTTTTGAGAGAGTTGGTATGGACCTCATCGGGCCATTAGACCGGAGTGCACAGGGATATCGCTTTGTACTCGTCCTAGTGGATTATGCAACACGATACCCCGAGGCAGTGCCGCTGCGTAATATTTCTGCAAAGTCACTGTTTCATATAATCTCCCGAGTCGGGATCCCAAAAGAGATCCTGACTGAACAGGGCACATCGTTTATGTCACGCACACTACGCGAGCTGTATGAACTGATGGGCGTCCACTCAATCCAGACTAGCATTTACCATGCACAGACCGACTGGTGGAGCGGTTTAACAAAACGCTAAAGAACATGGTTCGTAAGTTCGTTCACGAAGATAGTCGTAATTGGGATAAATGGTTAGACCCTCTGTTGTTTGCAGTGCGGGAGGTGCCCCAGTCCTCCACAGGAATTTCTCCCTTTGAGCTATTGTTTGGCAGGAAGCCCCGGGGTGTCTTGGACCTAGGAAAACTGGGAGGAGGGTCAAAACTCCAGTAAGAATGACAGTCAGTACGTTAAGGACCTGCGAGCAAAACTCCACTCACTGGGGCAGATATCACGTGAGAATTTGCTCCAGGCCCAGGAACGTCAGCAGCGCCTGTACAACAGAAGGTCGAAACTGAGACAATTTTCACCTGGAGATAAAGTGCTTGTGTTACTCCCATCATCTAGCTCTAAACTACTCGTCAAGTGGCAAGGGCCCTTCGTGGTCACACAACGAGTGGGGGACATCTATTATTAGGTGGTGCGTTCTGACATGGGGGGAGCAACACAGATTTACCACCTTAACCTCCTCAAAGCATGGAGGGAGGTGGCGTCTGCTTCCCTGGCCACCATGCTGATCGAGAGAGATGAGTTGGGTCCGGAGATAATTAAAAACAACAAATTAGCCCCGGTCTGTTGTGACGACCATCTCTCACCGGGTCAGAGAGCAGACGTTGCCTTGTTGCAAAGGCAGTTTGCCGATGTGTTCTCCCCACTGCTAGGGCGCACCACCCTCATTCACCACCACATAGAAACGCCCCCCGGTGTGACGATTCTTTCACGGCCCTATCGGCTGCCTGAGCACAAAAGGAAAATTGTTCAGGCGGAGCTTCAGGCCATGCTAGAGATGGGAGTAATAGAAGAGTTCACCAGTGACTGGTGCTGCCCCGTCGTGCTGGTACGTAAGTCTGACGGGTCAATCCAGTTCTGTGTGGACTACCGCAGGGTTAATGAGGTGTCCAATAACTCATGGATCGGCTAGGCACTGCTCGCTTTTACACAACACTGGATTTAACAAGGGCTATTGGCAGATTCCCCTTTCTCCTGAGTCTAAGGAAAAAACTGCCTTCTCCACTCCGTATGGTTTGTACCAATTTGTCACACTTAATTTCGGGTTGTTCAGTGCTCCAGCCACCTTCCAGCGGCTCATGGACTGGGTCCTGCATCCCCACTCTGCATATGCTGCGGTTTACTTGGATGATGTCATCATCCACAGTGAGACCTGGGAGCAGCATATGCAGCAGGTGGGGGCAGTGCTCGAGTCCCTGAGGCAGAAGGGGCTCATGGCCAACCCAAAGAAGTGGGCGGAGGAAGGTATCTGGGGTATCACTTGGGCGGCGGGCAGGTGCGGCCACAAATAGAAAAGACGGCCGCCATTTCAGTCTGTCCAGTGCCCAAGACGAAAAAAGAGGTCAGGAGGTTCATCAAACATTACCATTACCATTGGTGAATGAGAGTGATGCGCAGCCAGCATGCCCAAAACCGGAAGCTGGGTTACAGCTCTCATAGACTCGCTGCCGCGAGTTTTGGTCGCACAGTGATGATACTTATACCATTGGAATCTGTGAAATCTCAGCTTTCATATGATATCTAGTTTGCAGATCCGATGAAGTATAACATATTCCTACCGTGAGTTATGTGCTAAGTGCATTAGCACCCTTTCGCTTAGTGCTAATTCAGAGGCTTGGCGTTAGACTTGTGTTTTGTTTAGGTAAAAATGGTTCATATCGTCAGTTGGCTGAGTTTTTTCCCATTAAGTGGGTATGACACATTAATAGGTTTTTAAATGGTAAGAAGCCCTGAGACACAGTTTCGTGAACATTTCGTGAAAAGCCCCCCCCGGCGGGGGCTATGGGGCTTAACAGGATAAACAGTAATCAGGGCCAACATTTTAATATGATCAACTAAGTGAGGATTTAAGGTACTATATATCAGTGCTGGGCAACTTACAAGTAGTCTAAAGAGAGGCTGGCACTGGTTCGATTCATTGGGTGGTTTGTCAGTGTGAAGCCTGAAAAACACAAACACATAACACAACAGATAATAAGAACTGAACCAGGGGCTTGCCAAAAACATTTTATAACATGACTGTGAATTATTGGGAACTACGCTGGGGAGAAACATCCAAGTCTTTACATAAGAAAACATTCTGTCCCGATGTTGTATCTTATGTAGTTACCATAGGCAGCAGGGTTGCCCTTGGATGCATCCAGGTTTGCGCGCAGGATGGCATTGTTCAGGACGTTCAGGTATGTCGGCATGCTGTGGTAACCTTTGTTGTTGTAAAGAACCTGGAGAGAAGTGCTGTCAGAAGCTGTTTATAATGTATTTGAGATCTTCAATTCAGAGCCTTACCTGAGCTGATCTGCGAACTGCTATCTTGCGAACCATGGGAGGTATGTTTCTCCCAAAGGACGCTGGGATTGATTTCTGAATGTTCCCCACTGTTAATCCACCATATCTATTAAGAACAAAGTCCGTGTTGAAAACAAAATATTTTAAAAGTATATATATATTTGTACACGTATGTTTCACCTACGGTGTGTCACAATATGAATCATTTTTGGTCTTTTATTTTAAAATGTGTAATCTGACTGTATTTTGTCATTGTGTTTTTAAATGTGTTGTTCTATTGAATTTTCTTATGTGTGTTAAGCACTTTGAGATGCCTCCGTGATTTTCTTTTATGAAAAATCGAAGAACTGTGGCTGGCCACAGAATACGCAATAAACCTCCAGAAATATGTCAGCAGCTGAGGACCAACTGTAGCTAACTGTCTTCAAGGTAAGTTGGAAACATATACAATTGCATTTGAAAACAGATCACTGGCTGAAACCTGGCAGCGTCTATCGTTTTTCCCACCCAGTTTAGATTTAACCACGCCTACTTCTGCATTACGCAAGCATCAACGCAACAGAGTGTCACGGCGTCGCCGCCGGCGTTACGTCACTGCCTCACACCCTAGCATTGTTATGAATGACACAAGGCACAGGACCCAAACGCACGACACCAGAACCAGGTCAGGATTAAGTATTTTAATAAAAAGGCAAAAACGCTCACTTGGAGGATCAAACCTGAGAAACTATAAGATCAAAACGCTAAACAAAACATCTACTTGGACTATCAAAAAACGTAACAAAAGGAGTCGATCAAAATATACTTAACAAGGTCAAGAGGGATGGCTGGCAGACTTGGTTAGACAAGACGAACTGGCACAGGACAAGGGGAGACGCAGACTATATATACACACAAGTTAAGCAGTGGCGTTTACTCCTGGAGGTCAAGGGAAGCCAGGCTTCCCCTGTTTTTTCGGATTGTAGTTATAATTTTAATAAATAAATAAAAACGTTTCGTTTCGGTAATTCTTCTGTGCGGTGTGTTGCTGCCATCTCTCCCCCATTCTCATTGAGTATTTTACAAAGAGTGAAGCAGCGCCCCTCTAGATGTTATGGTGAAACAGTATATTGCACTCAATGTTGCGAGAGGAGGCCAGCCGAAATTGGCATCCCTTGACAGCTCGCATACGTAGAATGCGAGCCTAGAGGTGAGTCGCATTTTTTACAGGCTCCCACTACCTGTTAGCATCTAGCTATCCTGCTTACAAACATTTAGCCACCCCTGCTTGTACAACATCTTGACGCATCCTTTCACACTCAAGAATGCCATCAAAACACCCTGAGGATTATGTGCTACTTCAAAGAGCTAATGCAACAACTTCTGCGCCGGTAGCCAACAGCGTTTGTGCTCCTTCCCAGGCCACTGTGGAGTCAACTCGGCGTCCCTCATCCCATCTGGCGACCTCCTCTTCATGCCGTAAACTCCTCAAAGAGGCCGTGCTGAGACACTCGGGAAGTTTTCCGAGCCCTGAGCCGGCAAGGAAATCCCCTCCCAGCTCAGCTGTTATACTGTCTCACCACAACACTCTCCTGCTCGGTCACCACACCCTCAATCAATTACCTTTTATTTCAAAGAAAAAAAGGTCAACGTGGACCATGATTACGCACCTGAATTGCAGAGAAGGAGGAGGCAGTATGTGGAAGCCAAACCAGCACTTAAAGAGCCTGTGACACGGGTTTCACCCATCATCCAAAACCCATCAATGTTAGTAAATATTGTCCCCTTGAAACCGTTACTGAACTGATTTGGGATATTTGTACTTTGATAACCATTAATCTCCCCTTCAATGTTGACAATATTCTGGATCTTCTTGGGGATTCTTCAAATCCCGCCAAATTATGTGTGACGTAATTGCGGGCCAAGAGCTCCAGCTGCACCGTTCCGGATCCCAGCATCTGCATGCAAACGCACCGTGGCGCACACAGCAGCAAGCTCAGACAGCGATGACAGTTTAATTTTGAACGTGTCTGAGAGCTCATATGAGGCTGAAGGATCGGTTTATGTTTTATCTGTTTAGTTTAGGAATTAGGTTCGTCAATATGGGCGATAATACGGTCATGTAGCCAGTGGTGGACTGGGACTAAAAATCAGCCCGGGACTCTCGACCGGCCCACTTCGGTACCGCTAGTAAATTGTCAACGGGGGGAGTGGGGGATGTGCTAGTGACTTATCCGACCGGCCCACTTCGGTACCGGCCCATCGGGATTCGTCCCGATGGCCAGTCCGCCACTGCACCCAGCCCAGCCCACGTAAACTGTCAACGGGGGGAGCCTCGCTGCGGGGAAACGGTGGCCCTAGTGTCCCGATCGGAGTGGGAATAATAATAATAATAATCATGATCATAAATCATAATACGTGCATTTTATCCATTAATTTCCCCAACATTGTGGTAAAAAAAACTACACGTTTAATCCATGTTGGTGTACGACAACTACAAAAAGCATCGGTTTGTTTTTTCATCAGGAAATGCAGAACGGCTCAAACAAACGATTTTTAATCATCATCCTCACGATCATTTAATGTATCGTTAGCCGAATTGACATGAAAGCACTAATGAATGTAGTTTAATCCACTTGAGTTTACAACTACAAAAATAATCGATTTGTTTTTATATCACATCCGACGGGAGGAAATTCAGCAGCTCTCACTACCGATTTTTAATCCTAATTTAATCATCATCTTCACCACGATCATTTATGTTTATGTTCGCCGAATTGACATGAAAGCACTGAGAAATATGAATATACTGTAGTCAACTTCATTAAAACGTTATTAACGTGCCTAAACTCAGTAATTCACCATTTCTACTCATGACAACACACTTTGTCCGTGTTTGGTTCTCTCGCCGCACAGTGAAGTCTTCCCGCATTGACGTCACTTCCGGCTTCCCCCAAAACTTCAGAATGAGTCGAAGGAATTTCCTTGCGATGTTCGAAATGATTGATATTTATCGGAACGGTATCGCACCTTCTTTTTTAAGCTGACGGTTCGAGATTACTAGTAGCCCAATATTTCATTGCACAACAGTTGTTGGGAGGCTGTCACAGGCTCTTTAAGGAAAGAAACATAAGATTCCAGAGCCCATTCCCGGCCAGACTAAAAGTGTTTTCTGATGACAACCCAGTGGTCTACAACTCGGCTGAGGAGGCAACAGCAGACATGGTGAAGAGAGGGATACCAGTGACGGTCCTAAAAAATCCGAGCTCGCTAATGGACCAGATTAACCGGCTGACCTGGGAACCCAGCAGAAAGCGGGGAGATCAACTGCACCCGAGCTCCAAGCAACATTTCAAGGAACGGTTTTGAGGCTTTCGACATCGGGATACCTGATAAGTAGCCTATGTTTCATAAATGCCCACTTTAATGGATGCTCCCTTCTGAATATCTTGGTTAAAAAGAAACAACAATAATAAGGCTATTTTTTTTCTTTGCCTTTACTATTATTATTTTCCTCCCTACCCAAAGGTTGAGACTAAATTGAATAGAAGGCTTATACCACGGGCACATGTGGGCCAAATTTTGGGTCGGTTTGCTACTCTCTGTATACTATGGACCATGTATCAGCTTCATTTCATTTCATTTCAAACCTTTATTTATCCAGATGGTCCCATTGAGATCATAGATCTCTTTTTCAAGGGAGACCTGCAGCTTAAGGGCTGAAGAGGGCCCCCTTCCATCACTAAGAGGAAGAGACTTTCCCTCCACACTCCAACATTCCAAGGCCCAATATGAGGCCTTAAATCTGGAAGTCAATGACACTTATGTTTGTGGATATTATTGTTATACTTTTTTTGGTTATAGTTTTTCTCCATATAGTTGAACATATGTCCAAAAACAAACTCCAAGCAGTACTTTTGAGCCTCGATGCAGAAAAAGCCTTCGATCGAGTTAACTGGAAATTCCAATACCAAGTTCTTGAAAAGTTTGGCTTTCATAAGATCTTTATGAATACTGTTCAAGCATTGTACGACAACCCTTATGCAAGAATACAAATAAATGGAGCCATATCAAATTCTTTCAACCTTGAGAGAGGGACACAACAGGGATGTCCAATTAGCCCTTTGTTATTTGCAATTTATATTGAAGCTCTGAGTTTAGGGATTACTCAAAATAACAATATTACCGGCATTAAAAATATACGATCAGGAACATAAATTATCACTATTTGCTAATGATATTTTAATATACCTGTCAAACCCAGATGAATCATTTTTGAGTTTATTTACATTTTTGGACACTTATAGTTCTGTCTCAGGGTACAAACTCAATATAACAAAAACCCAAATACTGAGCTTTAATTACAAGCCAAGCCAACATATAAACTCAACCATTGAACTTAATTGGGATCTGAACCACTTAAAATATCTGGGAGTAAGCAGCTCAAAAAATTCAAAGGAATTGTATACACTAAACTTCAACCGTCTAAATCAGAAAATAAAAGAAGACATAAATAGATGGAACTTAATCCCAGTGCTGAGCTTTGAATCATGAATAGAATCAGTGAAAATGAACATCCTACCTAGGCTCTTATAACTTTTCCAGAATCTACCAATTGAAATCATAGTTTAATGAATGGGATAAAACCATATCAAGGTACATTTGGCAAGGGAAGAAACCAAGGATTAGATTCTGTACTTTTCAACTATGGATATGGATTGAATAACGGAGATTTCTTTAGATTTCTATAGGTACGCCACTACTTAAATAGTTCCCTGTCAGACAGCCAGAAGGCCCTTGAAAATCCTTTATTAATAGTTTTCACCAGTGCATACACATCAGACACAGGGATGAAAGTAATCTCAAAACTTTACAAAGCTCTTCAAGATCCTCCCTGACGAAGTCTGGACAAATGACTGTACTTTTCAATGGAAGATCTCTAGCTCAGGCACCTATCGAATGTTTAGTTGGAAGATGCTGAGCAGGTACTTTTTCAGCCCTGCTCAGTCATCACATCATCTAGGGCCCCCCAGCTGCTGGAGGAAATGTGGTTCTCAGTTAGCACATCACTACCATTTGTTTTGGGCTTGCCCTTTAATAGTAACTTTTTGGCAAAAGATCCATTTAGAAATTGAAATAGTACTACAGGAAAAAATCCAATTAAACTGGGACACATTTCTATTTGGGCTCGTACATTCAATCCCCACAAACCTCAAAACAAAACAATTATTTGGAATTCTTACTGTTGCAGCAAAAAAAGTAATAACTAGAAAATGGCTCAAAGCGGACATCCCTTCTCTTGACAACTGGTACGACAAAATCCATGAAATGTATGTTATGGAAATAATCACTTTCTCAATGAGGCTTCAGGAAAATACATTTGAGGAAATATGGAAAAAGTGGAGGATTTACATATCCCAAAGACGATCATAATTATGCAGCGCTGAGGTAATGTTAATTCATATTTTGATATTAATTCATGATGGATATTAGAGGAATACATTAGCAAACATCTGTAGATATATTTATATTTATACTGTATATGTCTCGTATTTTTGTTTGTCACGCTATATATACACACACATAAACAAAAAAATATATAAAAACAGTATATGTGTGTGCATAAATGAATTAATAAAAGTGTATATATATAATGGTTTCATTACTTTAATGCTTTACCGCGACCGCTCTAGCGTTTCGCTGCAATGCTTGCGAGTTGCTACCTAAATCCATGGTTGCTACACGGCTGCCGAAGAGGACGTCTATGAGGCTGTCACGTAGAGCTACGTCCAAGCTTGCGTAATGCGGAAGTAGGCGTGGTTAGATCGAAACTGGCTTGGAAAAACCAAAGACCAACCTGGCACACCTTTTGTTCTTAGCCCCACCCTTGAAAATAATTAATATCGGTTTTATTCTGGCAGCATTATTTGTTTACAACAATTTACTTTTTTTATTTTCAACAAAGCTATTTAAGAATTCAAGGCCAAAAGTAGCAGTTTATGTTTTTCGATTTATATACTGAAACTCTGAGCCAAAGCAACAGCAAAATACTTTAAAAACATGTTCATATGTAAGGTTATGATAAAAGTATCATTTTATAATTGAAAATGTTTCTCAACCTCAGTTATAGTCTCAGTGAGTGTGAGATGAAATGCCCCCCTGCAGTCATACCTGTGCAGGCGCAGTCTGTCTGATGTGAACAGCAGATACTCAGAGACGTTGCGGCCTGTGATGTCCACCAGGATGTCTCCTGTCACCACCTTCATGAGGGGGGGGCGTCCCCCCACCCCACTGGGACAGGAGAAGCCTGTCCCCTGCATAGAGCAGGTACAACGCACCGGCTCATGTAGGGACAGGGGGAGTGTGGGGGGGGACGTAACAGGCTCTGAGGAAACAATGAGGCCGTTTATTTTAATCAGTAGTCCTTTCTTTACATTTTGACTTGTCATAGCAGGACACACTGGTTGAATCAAGCTCATTAAAGTTGCATCAGACTGCTGGTTTTACTGTCGAGCCGACAGACCACTGAATCACTTTTCCTCAGAGCTATCAACAACACAGGACACACTGCATTGGTTGTACAACAGAGATGGTGATGATTATTCCGCAGGATCACAAATCCCAATTATAACTACAAACCTAAATCCCACCGTCTACTAGAACATCAACCTAATGTAAGATATCATTTTGAGTTTCCTCTTAGCAAAATGCTCACTTGTAAGCGGTAATGCCGTGTATATGTATAGAGATTGTCGGAACATCACACACACAATGTTGGAGGGCTATCCAATAGAAGTGAATTATGTTACAGTAGTAAACAAATAAGTCCAATGGAGGTGTTCCAGGCAGGGGGGGGGGGGGATGTGTGGGAGAGAAACTCCCTCAAAGGGCCCCTTTGATGAGATTCAACAGCACTCACACACTGAGATTTTGGCCACGCCCCCAGAGTATAAAAGTAATCAGTGGAGGCATTATTCACACACCAGTTGGACTGTTCGCTTACATTAAAATGAGAACTTTGAATGTGAACTAGGATTTTAAATCTGTATGATTGTAATATTTACCCTGAGCAAGGGGGGGGGATCAGGAGTAGGAGACTTATGGTCATTAATGTTGTTTTACTCTTGTGTTTAATGTTTGAATATGTGTTATGCCAGGCTGATATATTCTTATGTAAGATATATTTGGGCCTGCTCCTATTAAAGTGGTCACAAGCCTTATGAGAAGGACTCACCACGCATTGCGGTCGGATGGGCGGCTGTGTAGTTCCACAGTCCGTCCTCAAAGCCAGGATCTGGGTCATCTGAAGGCGCTGGTGAGGGAGGGGGGGGTACAAAGTTGGAGAAAGGGACCCCCTGTGTAAAGGAGTCAAGACACATGGAGTCAAAGTAGCGTGCAGCCAGGGTCTTGGAGTTGTTGGCGCTGGGGTTGAGGGTCTGGGCCAGCTGGTCCAGGGTGCTGTTGAAGGGGGTTTTGAGGACACAGGTGGCCCCCACGCCCGAGGGCAGACGGAGGGTGTTGATGATCTTCTGTGGGCTGGCGTCCGGTGACAGCCTAATCCTGAGAGGGGAGGCCAATGATGATGAGCTAACATTCTGAACTGGTCATTGACAGTCAAACATTAATATTTTCAAAACTGTTGTTGATGGACAAGCTAACAGCCTAAACGGTCAAATCAGCCAATAAGTAGAATATTGAACAAAGATATCAATAAAGAAATGTGTGTGAATAGATTAAAAAGACAAGAAAACAGACATATATACATACCTTTATAATTATTTTATAGAGTGTTTAGTGTCATGATATTAGTTTCCTGTTTTATTTTGAAATGTATTTTCCTCCTTGTGTCTTGTCTGGTTTTACTTCCTGTGTTCACCTGCTGCCCCTGTGTTCCCCCCCCCACCCTCTCCAGCTGTGTCTTGTCTCTGTGATTAGTGTTGTGTCTTCCCTTATGTTCTTGGGCTCTCTTAACTTAAATCCTTGCGTCCCTCACTTGCGTCTTTTCCTTGCGTCTTAGTCCCTCCCACCAGGGAAGCATGGAGAGACCATAGACTGTATATATAAATGGACGTAGTGTCCGTTACGTCACCCATAGGATTCTGCAGAGTTGCCGAGAAGCCCTTAGTAGGCGGAGTCGGCCACTAACGGCTCGACAGTGACGTCAGAGTCTAACTCCCGCCTGCTCCAAATAAGGGCAAAGAGGCGGAGCCGAGGCGGGACCTGCTGCCTCCGAACTGGAAGTAAACAGAGCTAGCTCAGGCTAAGGCTGCTTTTACACGGGAACGTTTGCGTTTATGCACAGTATGCGTTTTCAAAAAAGTATTCCGTTCACATGCATTCGTTTCATTTAACGTGTCTGTTGAAACGAGACCGCTGGAAACGCTGTAGTACATATGCCGGGACTGTAAGTGGCGCTGTACTTCCACACGAGACCGCTCGAAAGCGCTGGACACGCTGTAGTACATATGCCGGGACTGTAAGTGGCGCTGTAACTTCCGCCACAAAATACACCAAAAGCAGCGAAGAAGACCCCGGAGCAGCCCGGAGCAATGTTGCCATGGCTACCCTTCTGTTTATGCCCCGCGGTGGATTTAGCAACATGTAGTAGTTCATGTAATTCTCCATGTCCACTTGTTGCTGATGGTTGTGGTAGAGGAGCTGTAGATTTTGCACTAACATCTGTAGCATGGTCGAGCTGTAGATGTTGTACTAACATCTGTAGCATGGTTAGTAGCAGTAGCACTAGCAGTAGCTACTGACAGTAGCTACTGGCCATGCTACAGCAGTGAGCAGCAGAGGTGGGGCTATCGTTATTTTTTCAGGAAATATTCGAATAGAGGCGATTACACGGACTCGTTTGACCCCCCAGAGAGTTTCGTTTGCAAATCTATCCACCTTGGGACCCGTTATCGTTTGTGGGGTCCGTTTGTTACGGCCTCGTGTAAATAATAGGGCTATACGTAAGAGAAACTATGCAGATACAAGCCGTTTCGTTCTCGTGTAAATGTGGCCTAAGAAGCTAAGCTAACATGAAATACATGCATACCAAGTTACTGCGTGGCACTTTGGTTTTGATAAAACAGTGTAGTTCCCCTATATAAACGTTACATTCATAATCAAACGAGACAATCTGCAAGAGAATGAGCTATTTTTTGTTATTCTTAATGCTTGTCATCACGTTAATAAAATAAAAGAAGTACCGATACATAGCAGAACAATTGTGTCGATGTTCAGCTTAATAAGCCTTGTTCAACATAATTTATTTACCTAATACTACAGCGGGCTGCAGGCGAACCAAGTCCGCGTTTCGCTGCATTCCTTGATCTCCAGTTATAACGCCGGACTCCACCGCCCGGAGCTAACGGAGCCGCAGGGGGCTCCGGGACGCCGGCTGGAGCTGGACGCCGGCTGGAGCTAGCCCCCTGCGGCTCCGTTAGCTCCGGCGGCCACCACTGGGATAATTGGGTCCCCTTTTAACATTTGCTCCCGGTTAGCATTATGGGCGTCATAGCCATATACTATAAAAGTCGTACCCAAGGCTGAATCATAAACTAAACCGTATATATATATATATATATATATATACATATATATATATATATATATATATACATACACATACATGTATAAAGTGTTTACGTCCTTAGCTGGCTAATAAGCTACATAACAAGCTAAGCTAACAAGCACACAAACACCTGCTAACGGGGTTAACATGTACAATATTATCATTTTAGACTTCTTGGAAGTTCTGTTAGTACATTCAAGCGCACAGCACGACATTTTAATTGTCTGGTATTTGTAACAATATTCCCTAAAAGGCACAATCACCACGAACACGGCTAAAGGGTCAAGTACAGTAACTACAACTAACTAACGTTGTAGCCTAGCAGAGTGGACAAGTTGCTGTTAGCTGACAGTGAGGCACGTACCTGTCCATCAAAGTGACCACGCCCTAATTTATGCAAATACTTTAAGACCTAATATTAATAAAAGGGTCGCGTTAGAAAACAATTCACTCACAGATTCATAATCATGAAGGTGGAATCTAACTATATCATAATAATATTTATTGCATCCAGGGGTAGAAACATGTTTTTTTCTGCTGTAAAATTGGGCATTTTAACATGGGGTCTATGGAAATTGCTCCTTTCTGCAGTCATCGCCTCTCGGCCAATATATGAACTGCTGTTTGTGGCACTTCCGTATTGGCGTCCCGGCTCTTCCCGAGAGTTTGCTGCTTGGGAGAGACGCAAGGTAACCACGAGAAGCAGGGAAATGAGTTTCAAGAGCAATGGGACGTCCTTTCCTCCGGAGCGCCACGTGAAGCGACGTCCGTTTGTGATGACGCCGCACAGCTGATCGTCTGACAGCAGCCAGCTCTGTCCCCGTTTTATTCACAAACAACCCCGCCTCTGTTAGTACACATTTACTGACATCCAAATTGGTATCATCTGTTGTAGACCCAAATAAATGAAATACAATAAGAACTCATTCTCAAAAAATAAAAACGGCATTCTTAAAATGTATAAACGAACAATAGTTTGATTAATATTGATTTGAATGCACAAAAGAATGAAAATGATTGAGAGAAGAAAAACAGATATGTTATCTATCAAAACCCAGTTAGATTAACATTCATTGGATTGTCCACTTTGTTGTTCAGATATATCAAATGTTTTACTAAATGATACATTACAGATGTAGCACTCTAGAAAGGACTCCACCCAGCGGATTCCAACCAAAAACCCAGCGTTTACCAGTGGCTGGGATTTTAAAGCCCTCCCACTATTTCCTGAGAGGGCGTTGCCAGATTTCCCCATTTGTTCAATTTCAGGATTTAACCATGAGATGGCGCTTCATTCACAAATACACAAAGACAACTGGGTGAACTTTGGTATATAAAACGAGGCCACGCTTTATTAATTCGTGCGCACGATATACTTTCTCGTTCGCACGAGATACTTTTTTGTGCGCACAAGATACTTTCTTATGGTAAAACACATCGAACTGCCCGATTATTACGCGTGTGTGTGTGTGTGTGTGTGTGTGTGTGTGTGTGTGGGCATTTGTTTATGATAATGTCGTTTGTTCCGGTGCACTCCAGCAGGACTATAGCACTACATCGAGATTAAGATTAAACAAATGTCTTTCACTTGGGAATACACATATAACTATGGAGAACCAGATTTGTGTAAATTACTGTTCATGGTAATTTGAAAATAAATGCAACAAGTGTCCGACACACACAAACACACCAAACACACACAGAGCGGAGCTGAGCACAAACACACACACATCATGCGCCCTGGTGACCGGACATCTCCTTCATAAAACGAGTAATAGGGGGAATAATCGGGCAGTTCGATGTGTGTAGAGGTGTGTGTGGTTAAAGGGCCATAGAAGCCCTGACGTAGGCGGCTCACCGGCCTCTGTGACAGCGGTGGGGGGAGCGGTAAGCCTACATGCTCCGCCACTAGTCATCACCGCCGGGAAGTCCTGCCGCACAGACCTGTGCTGCGGGCCTTCCTGACGGCCGCCGGAAGTTTCAGACAACGAGGTGTCGTTGTCGTCCCTCTCCCCGACGAGCGGGCTCGTCCGGTCCACTGGCATGGCGAACATGAAGGGCACTCCGTCATCGTGTTCCTCCATATCCACCACCTCGAGTTCTGGGTCCTCCGCCGGCGAGACATGACACTCCTCGAATTGCTCCAGCCGCTGGCGGCGGCTGAGCCGAGGGATCAGGCGGCAGGCGTTGCAGGCCGGAAGCGGACCCAGGTTGGCCGTCGCGTGGTCAGACCCCAGGCACTCGATACACCGACGGTGGAGGTCGGCGCCTGCAATTACTAGACCCTCCAGAAAAACGCGATTATGCGATCGCATAATTTACCGCATAATCAGCAAAATGGCGCAGATTTTTAAAAGCGCGCATATTTATTAAAAGGTCGCATAATCCCCGCATTTTTCCACACAAAGTTGAGGGAAAAAAAAGTTAACGTGAAGTAGTGATGTCATCAGCTCGCGCAGGTAAACAACACCGTAGAGTGAATGTGTGGAACTCACACGAGAGAGAAAACAACAAGATCAACAAAAAATCCCGCCATATAGATTATTATATACTATTATACTATTATTATTATATCCTATTATACTATTATACGGCTCTGACCAAGATGAACAAATCGAATCCATCTAATTTGCCTACGAACATTTCTGCTAAAGACCGGGCAAAGCAGTACCCCGATGTCTTGCACGAAAGTGGGGGGAAACTATTCTGCACCCCGTGCAACTGTGTGTTGGAGCATAAGAAAAAAACGACGGTGACGACCCACTTTGATTCATTCAAACATTCTAAAATGCTTTCTGCTGCTGCGGACAAGAAAGTCAAACAACTCACGTTCACCGAGGCATCAACCTCCAAAACCCTTTCGAGGGCTACAAGAAACGAGGTGAGTAGCCTACAAGATTGAAGCTGGTCAGATAACGAACGAGTAAATGAAAACAGAATGAGGCGGAGGTGTGTGTGTGTGTGTGTGTGTGTGTGTGTGTGTGTGATAGCCCAA